GGAATGGCATACAAGATTTTTCTTATCTCTCTCTGGAATGCAGGGCCTCACGACTGTTGCAAACTTGGTACAACAAACAGCTTGTACTCAGCTAATTGCTTATTCGAAGACAATTGGGCATTCAGCAAAGAGATAAGGGGGGGTGGGGGGAAGAAACCAGTGCTCTTTACAAAGCAAAAGCAAGTTAACCCTTTAGAAATAAAATAGAGTGCACTGTTACAGGTATGGTTATACATTATGTGAAGCATATATAAAATATATAAAATTGTGTATATATAGAGTATAAAATTGTGTATCAAAATAATGCCCTTCAATGCAAAACATTATCTATAGTTATTGGGAAAGTATAGGGTAAATAGAAAAAACTCTGCAGACCACTTCAAGCAGGGGTAGGGATCCTAGTGTCTTCCAGTTGCTTTGGACTAAAATATACTTTTTTCCCCATGGTTACGCTGGGTAGCGTTGATTAAATGTGAAGACCATAATGGCTGGGGAGGGAGGAGGCACCATAGATTATCCTAGGCCTACTGGCTTTGCAAACAAGGCCCAGTGAACTTTTCTGGCAAGATCTTATGCCAAAATCTCATACACCAAAGTTTCATATTCTATCATACAAAATCACTGAATACTGTATTTCGCAATTCCAAAAATTTTCAGCTAATAAAAATTATTTTACTTGGGGTTAATATTTACAACCTTTCTTGGTGAGATTTGGAAAAAGCTTATCTGTTTTCTGTTGACTCATAATGTTGAACATTTTGAAAGCTGACAAGGCAGCTTTTTTCTGCTTATGTTATTCTAGAAATTGCTGTTTATGTTGATAGTTGAACAACACAACAATAAATTGTCACAGTTTTTCCTACCACTGCATTCCCTATCCCTTTCCTGAGCCATATTATACTATGCAAGATGTTCTTCTCTCTCTTTCACTTTCATGTGTAAAAGAGTCGTTGTCACAGAATGCTGGAAATTGCTTTCTTTTTTTAGGGTTAGGATCCAGACCAGCATGAGTGACATCTCTCATCCACCATGGGATCTTTTAAACTTCTCAGTTGAAAATAACACCTCATAAAATATGAAGAAATGATGTTATAAGACACCTTTGTAGATGCCCACAACCTTGCAAGACTGAAACATCCCATTCATGCCTTTTACCCTACATGTTTTTCTCTTTCTCAAGTATTACATTTATCATCAATAGCATTTCTCAAGCAATATATACTTAGTTCTAAAAATGTTCTAATTCATCACTTTAGTGTTTTATGCTCAGATGTCAAGGCAATCAACTAACTGTCTGAATATCCCCATTAAGATACGTAGATAAAAGCATATCACTCATGTTGGACAGAAATTTGGAATCGTCCATAGCTGAATGCATTATTCCTAAGACTTGACCTGCCAAAAGCAATGCAAACAGAAGAAAATGTCCTAACCTGAAGGTGATTTGTCTAGAAAATGAAGTAACTTGCATTTATTATCAATAATTGTAATTTTACTCCAAGGATCTTGAAGACCTTGGCACCATTTTAGAATTAGATAATAAATTATACAGTATTAAATGTTATTGAAACATTTTTTACTTTGCCTTCAAAGTCATCTATCAGTAGTTTTTGTATTAATATTCTGTTTACAAATGTGATAATTTGATTTTGAGATCAGCATTTTTAAATTCTGAAATACATTAATTTGAAGGAATTGAAGGGTTTCCAATTGCATATGCATATTAGCCAGAAATAAGTTAAGATATCCACAGCCATGTTGAAAGGAGCTCAGTGGCATATAAGCATGTTGCTGGCTGTTGATTGAATTGATGAGAAAAAAAGCATCAGGCAGAGATGAATTGACAGTACCACTTGACAATGCTATTTTTACAAGTAGGGCTAGTAATGAGGGAAGTTCATATATTCATTATTCTGGTGAAAGTCAACTGTTTAATCCAATTCATCTGAGCTCCCAGTCCAGCAAAAGTTTGATAGTCCTAGATGTCAAGTTGGAAACATGGCCTTAGCACAGAATCATGAATAAAATTATTGCTTCTAAAAATGGAAATAAACAAAACAGCTCAAAACAGCTTCCCCACCATACACTGCATAATCTAAGTATTTATTTCATTTGTATCCTCCCCTTTCTCCAAAAAACTCTGAGTAGTGTACATTGTTCTTTCCTCCATTTTGTCTCAAACCTTAAGCTTAAGCTGAGATGAGGTAACTTGTCTACTCTTGGTCAGTAAGTTTCCCTCCTAAGAGAGGAAAGCAAGGATGCATTTAGTTTGCTTTTCTGGAAAACTGTGAAAAGTCAAAGCACTCTAGCTGTCTGGAGATTAAAAGAATAAACGCAGAGTGCATGTAAGGATACAACTTCAGAGCACAGCCCCGAGGCAGTGCAAGTAAACCCCTAATTATGTATTTAACCAGTTTCATGTGTAACATTGTTTTTCAACACTAATCTATATCTCATTCTGGCTTTGTATTCAAGTCACACACCTCTAGTAAAACTGCGTCCCCTTTTGTGCTTTCATTTCTGTTGACATATCCCTGTATCATTTTTTAAATCAAAAGCTTAGAATAAGGTATCAGGAGTCCAGTAGAACTGGGGAAAGTATATATTGGCTATTATTTATTTCCTTCTTTGAAGAAATAGGTAAAGTCTATACCAGTTAGCATGATATATCCAATACATCCCGCTCCTTATCAGAGAAACAGGGGAACAAAAGAAACGATGAATTCTAAGATTATTACATCATCATCATCATCATTATCTGCACTTTTACCTGCTCATGTTCCCAAATTGTTCCCAATTTGTTAATAATAATGAATGATTATCTGTGAAATTAACTGTGCCTGATAGGAACTTTTATCCTTCTTGGCAGCAGTCAGGCCTAAGCTGCTAACCTCCTTAAAGCATCACAACTGAACAAAACTTGGTGACCATTCTAGAGATTTCTGTGGACAAATTAACTGGTAGGAAGATTATATTCTCATCTGATCTGCCTGGAAATTAGCTTACACAGGATTTCTTAGGTCAAGACATCAAGCTTGATAGAATGTACAATACCATAAAACATGGGAAAGAGACTCTGTTGCCCTCACCAGACAATGACAAAAGTGGTCTTATAAGGGAATACTATTGTATCGTCTATACCACAATGGGCAGAATATTAAATCTGGGCCTAGGTAAAACTATTTTGTGCAAAAGTTATTTAAAAGACAGTGGGCCACAGTGAAAGCTCTTCTAACAAAACTACCATTATAATAATATGGAAAAACACTCCAACCTTTCTGAAGGTAAAAATCACATGTCTCTTATTTTAAATCTAGGTTGGCTCTTTCAAAAAACCAGTAAAAGCAGATATTGGGCTGAGAGCCCAATTCTAAGCCCAGTTCCAGTCCTTTCTCCCAAGAAGATACACACTTTTTTTCAAACTTTTTGGAGGCCAAGGATTCCTCCATAAGGGCCCAGTTTTAAATAAAACTTTAGGCAACAGATTCTTTGGTAAGCCTCAACTGAGACAAGTCCTAAGTGCAGAAGAATATTGGTGGATAAAGATAAGAGAGATTCAGTTGTTTTGTAGGATGTGGGAACTGGAACATTATCTTCACTGTTAATTCCTCTTCAATTTCAAAAGAGTAGCTTACAGATTCACTGAAGAGTAAAACGAAACACAAAGCTGTATAGAGGATCCCCGGCCATGAGACATTCTCTGATAAAAATCTTTCAGATTAACAAGTATAGAAGGTAGCAGGTACATCTTTTAGCAGATCCAGACCTATATCCACTGAATTAATGCAGGCTTTTGAACCAGATGAGACAATAAAATATTTATGTTTAGATCTCCCATCATTTTCATAAACCTTAAAAGCAGCCATGGTTAGGGTTTTGAGAAATTTTGTGTGCTAAAAATACTATTTATTTTATTTAGAATCTTTAAAATATCAACATCTTTTTGCAAGTTACTGAGCCATCAGTAGAAGATAGAATTTTTATGTTTTTTTTTTCTCAGAGGAAGTGCCAATGATATTGAATTTTTCTCTGTATACCTTTTCCCCCCATGAACTATGAGTAACATAGAATTGGTACAAAGAAAAATGATTATTTTATGTCTTCTTCAACCTATATGGTGATTAAAGTAGACAAAAATACTTACGACTGCACTTCAGTGCACAGCTTAATATAGTTTTTAAGGTTGCACTGAAGTGTTTCAACTAGTCCAAAAATGTTATTAATGCAGGAGTGGAATGCCCCAGCTTAAAGTTATGGAAAACAAG